TTTGTCAGTGCTGGCTCCACTTGCTGCACCGGTGAGTCCCAACCCTCTCTGGCCCTCACAGCCCCTTCCTCGAGGCTTTTTTTTTGGGGGTGCAGGTCTGCCCCCCCCCAGCATCCAGTGGGGTTCTGGCCTGGCTTTGCACATCCCAGCTCCAAAAATCCCCCTGGGTTTGCTGTGCTGCTGCCAAGGCAACCCCTTTTCCACCCCAAAATTCCAGGGATGGTGAATTCCCACAGTCCCACCATGAGCATCTCCCCAAACACCCCTAAGTGCTGCCAGCACCCAGCTGGGCCAGCACAATGTTTGGGCAGGTCCTGCAGGAATTCTGAGGAGAAGAACTTGGGGTGTTGGTGGGACAGGAAGCTCAGCAGGCCCTGCCCCCCAAACCCCCCATGCCCTGGGCTGATCCCACAGCAGGACAGGGGGGGATTCTGCCTCTCTGCCCCCTCGGGTGAGACCCCCCTGCAGAGCTGCCCCAGCCCTGGGAACAACATCAGGAGGACGTGGAGCTGCTGGAGAGAGTCCAGAGGAGGCCCCGGAGATGCTGCCAGGGCTGGATCCCTCTGCTCTGGAACCAGGCTGGGACAGCTGGGGTGGGTCACCTGGAGAAGAGAAGGATTCAGGGAGACCTGAGAGCCCCTGGCAGGGCCTAAAGGGGCTCCAGGAGAGCTGGAGAGGGACTGGGGACAAGGATGGAGGGACAGGACACAGGGAATGGCTTCCCACTGCCAGAGGGCAGGATCAGATGGGATATTGGGAAGAAATTCCTTCCTGTGAGGGTGGGGAGGGGCTGGGATGGAATTCCTAGAGAAGCTGTGGCTGCCCCATCCCTGGAAGTGCCCAGTGCCAGGTTGGATGGGATTTGGAGCAACCTGGGCTGGTGGAAGGTGTCCCTGCCCGTGGCAGGGGGTGGGACAGGACGAGCTTTCGAGTCCCTTCCAGCCCAACCCATTCCCTGGCTCTGTGATTATTTTTTCCCCAGCACCAGGACTCGTTCCCTGCCCCAGCCCATCCCACACGCAGGAGGAAGAGCGTGACCCCCTCCCCAGCAATTTACAGAATGCTTTCTGCTCCTGCATTTGCCTTTCCTGTGGGAAAAGCGTAAGGATCAAGTGCCCGGGGTGGAGGTGAGGAAGTAACAGACTGGGAGCTGGGAGGCTCCTATTTATAAGCTCAACTGCATCTTATTTTGCATCTGCCTCTGCTCTCTCCCAGTTCCTCCTCAGCACGGGCAAACCATGGGGTTGCTGGTTTATTTTTCTATTTTTCCTTTATTGTCATCAAAATGAGCGCTGAGGATTTTTTTTTCTTTTCTTTTTTTTTTTTTTTTTTTTTTTTTTTTTTTTTTTTTTTTTTTTTTTTTTTTTTTTTTTTTTTTTTTTTTTTTTTTTTTTTTTTTTTTTTTTTTTTTTTTTTTTTTTTTTTTTTTTTTTTTTTTTTTCCTGGCAGTGCTGGGGGAAGCCAGGAACAGGCTCCTTCTGGGTAGAGCAATTACTCTCTTGACATCTTCACCTCCCTCCCGGCTGCCTGACAGGCCTTTCTATTTTCTCAGCTCTTTCAGGCATCTCCCAAGAAACAGAGCAGTTGTTGCAACAATAAAAAAATTAATACTCTGCACGCAACCCCGGCGTTCTGGTGCAGCCTCCGTGCAGTGCTGGGCTCAGAGCCTTCCAGGAGGAGAAGGAAAAGATGATGCTGGAAAAGGGAGGGAATTGCCCCCCAAACCCCCCTCCTTGGTCCCAAAGGCCGCTCTGGTTTTGCTCTTGTAGTGGTTTTGGCACTCAGGGGTGGGTGGTTGTAGGGGTTGGTCCTTGTCCCAAAGGGCTGGGCTGTGTTCCAGGGGGGGTGGGCACACGGGCAGAGGGGGGTGAGGAATCCCACAACACCAGGACAGTCCCAGGGATGTTGTGCAGCATCCCTGGAAGTGCCCAAGGTAGGGTTGGACGGAGCTTGGAGCAACCTGGGCTGGTGGGAGGTGTCCCCGCCCGTGGAACCGGATGGGATTTGAAGTCCCTTCCAACCCAAACATTCCATAACTCCGTGATTTCTGGCCCCATTCCTGCTGCTGGGCATCACCTGTATCTGCAGCCACAACGGGGAGAGGGACAAGGGGCACTAAAGCTCCACTATCCACAGGCAAGGGACACAACCCCCTCAATCCCAGCATCCTGCTGGGAACAGGACCCAGCAGAGTCCCCCCCATCCCATGGGAACCTCTCCTGTCCACACTGGGATGCTCTGACAGTCCCTGCACACCCCTTGTGTGGTGGTTTATTTTTTTTAATGCCATTTTAGGACTTGGGCAGAGGCAGCCCTGGATTTAATCCTGTGGATTTATTCGGTTCCTCGGGAATAAATCCAACAAACCCTCCTTTCTCTCTCTGGGCTGGAACGTGAGCTCCTTCCAGATCCCTAAACACAGATAAGCTCTGGGAGGATATTCAGGGGAAGCATCGGATATTCCTGCTCTATTCTTATCCTCTTCTCCAGGCAGCCAATTTTGGCCACTGGTTGAGAAAAAACCCTGGGCTCCAGGTCTGCTCTGATCCACTACAGCTCCTCTTCCCCCCCAAAGGGACCAAACCCTGCTCAACTCACCCCCTACCCCCCCAAAACCAACCCAGACCCCCCCTTAAAAAACCCCACCAAGCTGCTTTCTGCATCCCCCAAATCAGGGGGAGGTGGGGAGGAAGAGGGAGAAGATGCAAAGGGTTTCTCAGCGGTTTGGTGCCTCCCACTGAAATCCCTCCGTCTCCCTTTCGGGGTTTGGTTGTTTTAGAGGAGCTTTTTTGCACATTAGTCATCCCCTCTCCCGAGTTGCATAACGGCACAGGCTAAAAATTGCATCCTGTGGCAGCTCCTGCCCAGCCCTCCTTGCTCTGCTGGGGACCAGATTTTTTGGGGGGGGGTCCACTGAAGGTTTTTCGTCCCCAGACAACAAGCCCTGCTGTGGGGAGAGGGTGGGATCTGCTCTGGGGTGGATCCTCTGCCTAAAACCCCGAAGTCTGAGGTGTCCTGGTCTGGGTTTTGGTGGCTGGCTCGTCCCCAAAGTCAGGGCGTGACCTTGATCAATCATTTACGGCCCAGGGGCCACTGAAATCGCAGGGGGTGACCTTCCCTCTCACAGGGGATGGGGATATTCCAGCTTCTCCTGCTTCCAGAGGGGAGGAGGAGACGTGGCTTGAGCCTCCAGACTCGTCCAGCTGGTGGATTTTTGGGTGATTCACGGACCTGCCCGGTTGCTCCTGTGGGAATGCACCTCAATCACAGAAATCCAAGGATTGCAGCTACACCACCAGCACTGCCAACACGGGGGGTGAATCACCAGCACAGGGGTCAGGAACCACTGCAGGCCATCCTGGGCAGAGGATGGATGCAGCTCATCCTGGTTTCTCCCCCAGATTCCCAGAAATTCCAGCTCCAGCCCGGGGTCTCTGCAGGGCCCAGCTCCTGCCATCCAGCCCCAGGATCCAGCTCGTGGCACCCCACACATTTTCCCACCTGTTTTCTGCTTCCCTTCAGCTCTCCCAGGGCTGGGACGGGGCAGGGGGAGGAAGAAAAACAAAATAAAGGAGAAAAGGTTCTTGTTGGCCCCCTGGAGGACTCAAAGGGGGGTTGTTTTGCTGGTGGAAGTGGCTCCTCCTGGCAGCTCCTGCTCTACACTGAGGGGAAACTGAGGCACGGGGAGCCCTGGGATGAAGCAGGAGGGTCCTGGCTGTGGGAAGGGCCAAAATCCCCCCCAGCTCCTTCAGGGTGTGGGGACCCTGGAATTGCAGAGTCATCAAGGTTTGGAAAAGACCTCCAGGATGCCCAAATCCAACCTTTGCCCAGCGCTGCCTCCCAGAGATGATGAGATCTCCTCAAAGAGATTGAGAGAGCACCAGGGTGGGGTTCAAGAGCGGGGCTGCACCCCCCAAAACCAGCCCCCTGCAGCCCCCCCTAAACCCACCTGCCCCCTGGGGAGGCTGAGCCACAAATCAGGAACTGAAGGGTTGCTTCGAGGTCCAGAAAACACTTGAGATCACTCAGAATCACCCCCAAAAAAATGAATATACATGAGCAAAAGCAGAGTAACAGGGGGGTTGGCGCTCCAGCCTCCTCCTCCCTTGGGATGGGGGATCCCATTCCCGTGGGAATGCTCCTCCCCACCACCCTGTGTCCATCTCCAAAAAGGGATTCATCCCCCCCCCTTTCCACTCAGGCATCATTTTGTCCCCAATCCCAGCTATTCAACTCCAGCAGCAGCTTTCCCAGGGCCCCTCGTTGCTCTTCCCACCACCTCCCAGCTCTTCCTGGGAACATCCCTACCTCTTATCCCAGCCTCTCCCAGGGCCCCCTCAGCCCCCACAGGGCCCCCAGGGCTGTTTTCCAAGGCTGGCTGGAGAACCAGGCACGATGTGGGAAAGAACAAGTGTGATTTAGGCAGAAAAAAAAAAAAAAAAAAAAAAAAAAAAAAAAAAAAAAAAAAAAAAAAAAAAAAAAAAAAAAAAAAAAAAAAAAAAAAAAAAAGGCACAAAATGAGAGGGGAAGCACTGCTGGGCAGGGAATAGAGGTTTATTCATCTGTGGCCTCCAGAAACTCGAGGCTGCTTTTAAAATAAAATAGAATAAAAAGAAAAATAAAATAGAAAAGAAAACCAACAAAACAGAACCTGGAATTATATGAACTCAGCCATTTCCAGCACGATGAGATATCATTTTGTAAGTCAAACGTGTCCTTCTTTGTGTCTCCATCGCCCTTTTAGCCCGAGTGCCACCGGCCCGTGGGAGGGAGGGCAGGGAATCACGGGGGGGGGGGGGTTTGGCCTGGTTTGTTTGGGATTAGTCATGTTTTAAAGGGGGGAAAATTACCCCAACCCCACTCCGGGGGTCGTCCTGCCCACGAGGCAAGGCCAGTGGAGGCGTCACAGCTCCCTCAGAGCGGGGCAGGGGGAGCTGGAGGGGATCAGCACCAGCTTCTCGTGGGGTGGGGAGGAGGTGGAGATGTCCCAGCTGGAACTCGCCCGGAAACTTTGGAGACACGGAGTCGTTGGGAAGGGGAGAGGGCGGAGCGACACGACACAGAGCGGGGTCCGGGAGGTGTTGTTTTGTTTTGTTTTTTAGAGGATGGAAGGGACGGGAGAGCAGGGGCTCTGCAGAGCGCAGGGAGAGCTGCAGCGGGACGGGAGCGGGGCCAGGCCCCCCGTGGATCCTGCCACACCAGCTATGCTGCTCAGGCTCCGGGATTTTCCATAGCCTTGGTGGAGAGAACAACACAGGTTAGAGCCGAGCAGCCCCGCTCCCAAGGCTCGGAAAGCTGGGAGAGCCGCGGGGGGGCGGGGAGGGAGCATCGCCAGCCCCACAACCCGATCCATCAACCCCCTAAAAAAAAATCCGGACGGAGCTTTTTGAGGGCAACCAAAGATCCTCCAGATCCTTCCCCCGCTGCACTGGCCAAATCCAGGAATTCTGGGAGCCGTCCATCCTGGGAGACCAAATAGCTCCTGGGGGGTGTTGGATTTTGCTTCCCGATTTTTTTTTTTTTTTTTTTCTGAATGAGGAATGAAACTGGGGGATTTCGTGGGCTAAAGCAGACAGGGAGAAACGGCAGAACTCAAACAGAGATGGGATTTGGAAGGAGTTTGTTCCCACGGCTCCGGGTTTCAAACCCCAAGCTGCTGCTGACACCTTCCTGCGTGGAAAGGAGCGGGTCGTCGTGCTCGTTATTTTCCCGTAAGAAATTGCATCGAAGTGCAAATATTTATATTTCTTTAAGCACGGGGACCCTTCGCACTCCTCCCAGAGAGCCAGGAATTGCTCCAGCTTTCATTGGAAAAGCAAACAACCAGAAGAAATGCTCTCACGGGTCAAAAGCCGCTTTTCCTGCTGGAAAGGCGCTAAGTATTCACCCTGAAAATTGCATTTTTTGGGTCCAACCTGCGGCACTGTTGAAGATGAGTCTGTTCCCTGGCTCTGCTGCCAAAACGTGGAAAATTAATGATGCTCCCGGGCCATGACGAGCCCGATGTCCCTGTGCCTGCATCCTCCCGGGTGAGCAGAGCCCAGCCAAGCCTGAGCTTTTCCCCAGCACCAGCAGGATCCAGGGAAAGCGGGAGTGGAGGTGACCGTGTGAGTACAGGGGGGGTGGGAACGGAGGGAGCAGCTCCTGCCAGCAGATAAACAGGGTGATGGATGGCTCCCCAGGGGTAGTGCCAAGCTTGGAATCCCTCCCTGTGCCCCCCTCTTCCCGGGGTGTTCCTGGGGCGTTTTGGGTTCTGCCGCTTTGGGACAGGTTGGTTTTTGGGTTTTAGGTTCAAATCAGGAATTAACGATCAGAGCATCAACCCCCCCTGCCCCGAGGAGGATGCTGAGACAAAGCATCACCTGCCAAAGGCTCCAGAGCACTTTAACCCCGATTTTGATCCCCTTTTGACATTCCCCTCCCCCAATCATTTCTCATCTCCAGCACTCGGTGGGGAGGAAGAGGATTCTTCAACCCCTTCCCACCTCTCAGCCCCCCGAGAAGCTCCTCGTTTTTCGGGCAGAGGAAGGCCCAGGGGACAGGGGGACAAACCTGTTGCTGACTCCAGCAAAGCTTTCCCAGTCTCTGCAGTGGAAGCAGGACCAGAATCAGCCCCCGAGGACAGGAGCAATTTCCTGATTTACTTTCTGGCTTGGATCCACCCGGAGGGAGGGGAGGGAACGAGCACAGCCCTGAGCAGGGAGGTTGGGGGGGGATAGCTGGGGATGTTTCTCACCTACAGCAGCTGCAAAGACCCTCCTGCTCTCCCCTAACACCCCCCCAAAAAACCTCCTTTAGGCTCGTCCTTTCTCAGCCCTTGCTCTTTTCCCGGGAGAGCTGTGGCTCTCTGGGGAGCTCACGTGTTTCCCTGAGCTGTGTGTGTGTGGGAAGCAATCCTGCTGGGATCCAACAGTCCCTGAAAGCTTGGGATAACCCTGGATCCAGCACCCAAACAGCACCAGTTTGGCAGGAGGAGTTACGGGCTCGAGGCTTGCTGGGAGCCCCCGTGGTGACCCGAGTTTGTAGGGAGGGTCTTTGCCTTCTTGCTGATTAAAAAAAAGGATGGAAAAGGGTAGAGGAATAGGGCCAAAATCACACTCCAGCACCACAGTTTGGGGCAGCACCTCACAGAGGTGTTGGATTCCCCCAGGGACCCTCTGCAGCTCCAAGGGCAAACCTTCCCCCAGCCCAGTCTCCAGTCTCCCCATCAGTTTATTCCCAAGCCCTGGGAAGGAGCTCAGGGCTCCATCCCTCAAGTCCATCGTGGTTTTCCACCAAGCCCAGGGCCAGGAGGAGCCACGAAGCACCAGGGGGTTGTGTTCTGCTGATTGCCAGTTCATTAACAGAGTTCATTAACAGAGCCAGAATTCCCAGTGACTCCAGCGCTACCTGAGGCCGCTGGAATTGCTTTACAAACGGGTTTGCTGCCTCTAAAGAGAGTGAGGGGACACCGTGTGACCCCACGGGGACCTCCCAGGCTGGGCTTCCCACAGGAGACACTCAGTTCCCGGTGCTGGGAGCAGGTGGGACAGGGTGAAGAGGGAGGCAGCGGTGCCCGGGAATGCCTGGGCTTGTTCCCAACACAGCCCGGGGCTTGGGCTGGTCCTCCCTCCCCCCAGCCAGGCACTGCCAGTGGAAGCTCCTGGGAGCATCCCCAGGTCATGGCCCTGCCCTGACAGCAAGAGGGAGAGGGAAAAATCAGCTGCCCGACGCTCTGGGCTTGGCCACGGAGCCAAAAGCCACGTCAAGGTGCTGATAAAGGGGGTGGAGTTAGTTAACAGGCACGTGGATGTGGCACTTGGCAGTGCTGGAGGAACGATGCGACTTGACCTCAGGGCTCTTTTCCAAGCTAAACGATCCCGGTGATTCCATCTCAGCCCATCCCTCTGGCACTGGGCGTGCTGGGCTCTTCCTCCCTCCCCATCCCTGCATCCAAGCCCAGAACAAGGCTCACATTCCCAAACAGCCTCGTGTCTGGGCCCAGCAGGACACGTTTTTGGGAACTGCTGGAGGGAGATCAGGGGGTCTGAAACCTTCCCTGGCAGCAAGGGAGCAAAGGGACACCACTGGAAGCATCCCCAGGGGCAGGAAACACATTCCCCATGGGAATCCCCAGCAGCCCAGCTCTGTGTTCCCAGGTCCAAGGGGCCATGGGCAGGGGCCACTCTTCCCTTTGAGCTGCCCCAACAGGACCAACCACTGCGATTGGGCTTGATCCACCAGAAACACCGGGATCTGCAGCTTCTCCCTGAGCCAGCCCCACCTCCTGCTTTCCACAGCTTGCACAGACACCAGTACCTGTCCCAGGATCTGACAGATGGCCATCGGCGAGCCGGGCTCAGAACCAAGCTCATCTCAATTTGCAGAGCTGCCAAGAACCCGGGACCAGAACAAACAGCCTCAGCAGGAGATAAATCAGCACCGAGGGAAGAAGAGGAGCCTCTGCAGCTCCCAGGGGCTCCTGGCTGGAGGCTGCTCTGCCCCCCCTGCTCTCCTCTGCTCACCCCTGATCTCCAGAACATCCCCTCCTGGGACAGAATTCCCACCCCTCCTACCAGAAAGATCTGATTACTGAGGTTGCCTCTTCCCAAAAAGGTCTCCAGCAGCTCTGAAGCCCCCCTGGATCCACCTTTCTAAGGGTGCAACGCCCTTTCAGCGACGTGGGGGTAAATGAATCTCTGTTTTTATTGTAAAAAAACTGGTGTTTTCAGGGAAGACACCAGAACACCCCAAAAACCACCCCCAAAGTGTCCTCTCCAGAAGATGCTGCTGCCACCACGTGAGGAGCGAAAACCTCCTGGTCTCCTGCAACCTGGAAATCTGGGATTTGGGAGAAGGGAAAGCAGCTCTGGATCCTCGGCTCTCAGAACTCCTCCAGGCTCCAGTGGGACCAGGTTCAAATGCCTCAGCTGAGGAGATGCCCAACTTCAGCATTTTCCCAGGATGAAGATCAGCACTGGCTTTCATCCCTCTCCTTCATCCCTTCCAGCCTCCCCATCCCAGTCTGGAGCAGGACTGGAGCTCCCCCTCACATCTTCCCATTATCAGAAAAGAGGCCAACTTCCCAGGAAATGGAAAAAAAAAAAAAAAACAAACCCTGAAGCATTCCAAGCAAATATTTGAGGGTGTTTGCCCAAAGGGGAGCAAAGCTTTTCATTTTCCCTCTTCCCTACGGATGAGCTGGAATGCCAGAGGGAATCCTTGATTTCCCAGGAGGGAACAACCAATTTGCTTTTACTGCTGTTGACAAGTGTGATTGGCCCCCAAAGGCCCATCCCTGTACCCCAAGCCCCATCCAGTCTCTACCATCCCAACCAGTTCCACACCAGCAACACATCCCTGAGGGTGCAGCTGGATTTGGTGGCGCTGGATTTACCCCCACGGGGGGGAGGGCTGAGCTGGTGGGAGAGGGGTAGAGAGGGCTGGGACCGAAGGGGGCTTTGTTTCATCTCTGCAGGAAGAGTTCTGTGTTTTCCTGACTCGTCTCCCCCTCAGTTTCCCCGTGGAAAAACCTCAACACTTCAGCACAGCTCCCTTTTCCACACCCCGAGGAGCCTTCCTGGCAGCCCAGAGCTCCTGGCAAGGCAGCACTTGACACATCACAGCTCCCCACGCTCGAACCCACCCAAAGCCGGTTAGAGGGGGGAAGAAGAGGAAAGGGAAACTGCTGGGGATTTCTTTCCCTGCTGAAAACCTTCTGGTCGCCTCCAGCCACAAGCCCAGGAGAGATGTCCCTTTCACACCCCCCTGAGATGGACGATTGAAGCCCAGGGAGAAGAGTTGGAGGGGCAGAAGTTGCAGCACTGGGGGGGTGAAGGGACAGAGCTGTCCCCACGCAGGGCAGTGCCACCAGCAAGGGGGTCACAGACCCCAAACAGGGGCTGTCAGTGGGAGGAGAGAACAAAAAGCCTGCAGCCAGCACAGAGAGATGGGGTGGATGGAGATGAAGCAGATGGAGAGGCAGGAGGACACGGATTTGGGGAGCAGAGCAGAGCCGGGGGGAGCGGATGGAGATGAACCACAACGAACCTCCAGCTCCCTCCCCCTGCCAGCTCACACCTCCAGCCCTACCTTTCTGGATGCCTCCATCAGCCGTGCAGGAGAAGTCCCCCGTGGCCAGCAGGAAGCAGGTGGAGGATTTCTTGCCCCTGTCCCGGGTGCTGGAGCGGCGCACGGGCCGTTTCTCCTCGTCCGGCGGCGACAGCGGCTGCTCCTCGTCCGACAGCACCACGTTGGCCTCCCCGTTCTGCTTGGAGTCTGCAGGGAGGTGGCAGAGACCCATCAGCAGCTGAGAGACCCCCAGGACCAGGTGCTTGTGGTGACCAGAAGGGTTTGGTCAGGCCGTTCAAGGCAGCAGATGAAACCAGGCTGTAGATATTCCAGGCAAAAATCCACCAATTCAGGGACAATCCCAGCCTGGACACGTTAATTTGGAGTAACCAGGGGAGCAGGACGACCCCAGGCTTATTTCCAAGCAGCAAAGAGCAGCTCTGGCCCTGCTGAGGGGTTATAAACCCTGTGTGAAGCCAAAGCTGGGGAGGAAACACCCCTGGGCCTTCGAGATCCACCCACCTGATTGGTGGGAATTAGCTCTCCAAAAATTGTTACTGCTGAAGACCTGGCTGCTTGGGGCAATGGGAAGTGTTAATTTATGTGTTAATTTAAGTCACCTGACTGCCCTGGTTGCTTGGTTGAGAGGAGGCTCTGCCAGGTGAGGGTCTGGCCTGTGCTCCTGGGGGGTGTTGGGGTGAAGGGAGGGGGTTGACCTGCTCCTACCGAGCTCCTGCTCCCACAGAGCTCCTGCTCCCCAGTGCCAGGGCTCCCCCTGGGCACACAGGGTGTGCAGGCACATGGAAAAGGGAGATTTGTAATGAAAAAAAAATTGAAATGAAAGCCCTCTTTGGGGACATTCAGAGCTTTCCGTGTCCCCACAGCTGAAGGACACGCGTTCCAGGTGACATCCAGGCAGCCATTCCAGAGGTGCCTCTGGCAGCGAACCAGGAGGAAAAGGGCAGAGCAGCCACCACGGTGACAATGGGGACAGGGGGACAGGGCTCTCAGAGACCCCCAAGCTGAGCCCGGGGGGTGGTGGCACCAACAGCTGCCCACAGCTGGAACCACGCCCTGTCCTGACCCAAAGGAAGGACTGGCCAAACCCCAAAGTGCAGGATGAGAGCAAATAACAAACGGGCAGGGGCTGGTTTTGCTCAGGATTTGGAGCAGCCAGTGCAGAAAATGAAGGGGGAGGTTTGGGGCCAAGCCCCAGGGAACATCGGTGGATTTATCCATTTTGATGGAAGGTTCCATGATTTACAGTGGGAGGAAGCAAAGGAAAATCTGTCCCAAGGGCATGACCAGGCTCAGGTGGGAGCTGGGCTCCCTCTGTCAGTGTGAGGGAGAGGTGGGCTCTGTAGGGACACCTGGAATCCCACCACGGTGAGCTGATCTACACCCTTGGGAGAGCAGGGCGTGTCCTTTGGAAGGGCAGGATGTGGCCTTCCCCCCTTTCCTGCAGGGGGGACTTGATCTGCAGCATCCTGGTCCACCAACAGGGCCCCCCCCACACCCTCCCACCCACACGTCCCAGCCCCTTCTACACCGAGTTCTCACCCACCCCAGAGCTGGAGGCCCCACCCTGCACCATCCCCGGGGACTCTGGGATACAGGAGACCACAGAGATTGCCTCGGCTGCTCCCAGAGCTTCTCCCCCTCCCCGCTCCCCACCTTTGGGGTCTCACCTGACCGTTTCCGCTCAGCCACCCCCTCCTCTACTGCCAAGGGGCAGGTGTCGCTCTGGGTGCTGTTCCGGGGCGAGTTTTCCTCGGATTTGCCGTAGGTGGGGGAGTCCAGGGGGGCTGGGCGGGGTATATGCTTCTTCTTCTTCTTTGGCAGCTTCTGCTTGGCCATGGCCAGGGAATAGTACATCCCAAAGTTATTGACGATGACGGGCACGGGCATGGCGATGGTGAGCACCCCGGCCAGGGCGCACAGAGCCCCCACCACCATCCCCGACCAGGTCTTGGGGTACATGTCGCCGTAGCCCAGCGTGGTCATGGTGACCACGGCCCACCAGAACCCGATGGGGATGTTCTTGAAGTGGGTGTGGTCGCTGCCGGTGGGGTCGGAGGTCTTGGCGCCGATGCGCTCGGCGTAGTAGATCATGGTGGCGAAGATCAGCACCCCCAGGGCCAGGAAGATGATGAGCAGCAGGAACTCGTTGGTGCTGGCGCGCAGGGTGTGGCCCAGCACCCGCAGCCCCACAAAGTGCCGCGTCAGCTTGAAGATGCGCAGGATGCGCACGAAGCGGACCACCCGCAGGAAGCCCAGCACGTCCCGGGCCGCTTTGGAGGACAGGCCGCTGAGCCCCACCTCCAGGTAGAAGGGCAGGATGGCCACGAAGTCAATGATGTTGAGCAGGTTTTTGACGAAGAGCAGCTTGTCCGGGCAGCAGACGACGCGCACCAGGAACTCGAGGGTGAACCACAGGACGCAGACGCCCTCGATGTAGGTGAGGACGGGCTCCGTCTCCACCTTGCGCGTCAGCAGCACCGTCGTGGTGTTGCCGACCACCAGGGTCTCCGTCACGTTGACGTCGATGTTGAAGGCCTCGTGGGTCTCCAGGCAGAAGGTGGTGATGGAGACCAGGATGAAGAAGAGCGAGGCGAAGGCCACCACCTGGGAAAGCGGGAATGGCACGGGCCGTGAGCGGGGGGGGGCAGCCTGTCCTCCCTGGGGGAGGCTCCTTGTCCAGGAGCTGCCACCAAGGGCAAGGGGGCAGAGCAGGGAAGGGTCCCTGGGCCTGTCCTGTGAGGTGGCAGCCACCCTCAGTGTCTGGGGCAGGAACCTTTCTCCAAGGGCTGCCATCTGTCCATGGGGAGGTGAGCTGGGCTCCAGCTGTGGCTGGAGGTGTGCCAGAAATGACAGTGAGGGGGGTGAAGTGAGGCCTGGAACAGCCTGGGATTAGAGGGAGACTCCACTGGGAACAGATGAGAAATCTGAAAATTGAGTTCTTAAATTTTAAGAGGACAAAATCCACCAGGTGCATCCCGAACCACACCAGACGGGAGGTTCCCATCATCGTTCATGACTGCGAGGTTTGGGGTCTGGATGTGTCAGAGATGTCCTTTCACCCCCCTCCCTGCTCCCTGAGGGTCCCTGGTGGATGATGGGCCCACAAAAGGTCCCAGGACTGACAGGGCAGGACAAGGGGAGGAGCAGGCAGAGCTGAGGCCTGGGCCTGCTGACACCCAGATGATTCCCAGTTGTCCCCTCTGGCAGACCAGAGAGACCTTTGTCCCCTCCATGCCACCTCCTCCTCGAGGAGCGGGGGAAAAACCAGAGGCTGTGTCAGAAAGAACCACCTTGTGGTGCTCCATCAATACTGCTCAGCCCCCTCCCGGCAGGATGAGCTCAGGATGAGTCCTTTTCCCAGAGGATCTGTTTCCAAGAGCCCCCAGAAAAAGAAAAAAAAAAAAAAAAAAAAAAGAGCCTCTGAGAAGAAAAGCTCTTCCAGCACAAAACCACAGCGGGTTCTGCTCCCTGGGGGCAGATCAGATCCTGCTGCAGCCCCTTTGCTGCACCTGCACCGTCCCCTGTCCCACCCACCCCAGCGGCTGCGGCGGGAAGAGCTGCTCCAGGAGGCTGATCCAGGAAGCTGCTCCAGGAGGCAGCCCCGGCCCTTGGCTGGAGTGAATCAGCAGCACAGAGGGCCTGAGTCACGCTGGAATAAAACCCAACCTCGCTCTGGAAGGCCAGAGCCTGCCAGGAGCATCCCCGAGGGGTGTCCTCTCACCCAGGGGGAAACCCTGGGGAAGGTGGGGGGACAGCACAGAGAGTGTCAGCCCTCCCAGGGTTTGGTGGGAAGGTTAAAGTGGGCATTCATGGCTGGAGAAAGCTCTGGAAGGTGATTCTCCCACCCCAGACGCCAGCTTAGGGATGGGGTGAGATGCTCCTCACCCCTTAACCAGACCCCACTGGGCCACACGGGGCTCTGCAGGCTGATGAGCCACCTGCGGTTTGGGGAGCAAATCCAGCAAAAAGTGGGATCTGGAGGCCAGTTTAGCCAGACAAGCGTCCCTGCACAGCAGTGGCACAGCCAAAATAATCTACTGGCGGCTGACTCATGTTCCTGAGTTTCCCTGTGTGGGGAATCTCAGGAAAACCTCAGGAGTGAAAACTTGGACTCGAAGCAAAACAGGAAAAAACATAGAAGTCCAAGGGAGGGGGTGAGACCCTGTGAACACTCGGGTAATGAAGCAGCTCCGCTGTGTGAGGGTGAGGTGAGACCTGATTTAGCTGCAGGAGCAAAAACAAAGTCTAAAAATAGGAGAGTCGGGTTCACAGCCAGTGCAAACCATCGTGTGTGTCCCCCCCAGACCAACGGTGCTGCTCCAGTTTTGTGCCTGGCCCAAGATGTCTCACTCAGTCTCTGCTCAAAAGTCAAGTTCTTTTCCAGAATGTCTTTAAAATAAACCCAAATCTACTGTAATTCACCCAGCACCACCAGAACTCCCTCAAACAGGTCCTCCAGAACCTGTTGACGACCTGATACACTCAACAGCTTGAGATGGGTGTTCCCAAGAAAAATCCATGGCCCTACAGGTGCTCACCAGCCTGGCAGTGCCCATGGAAACGAGGCCAGGGCTCCCCAAATCGGGAAAAATAATGACGAGCTCCACAGAGGAGGAATCTGGAAGTGGAGGTGAAATCCCAGCCAGGGCATTTTCCCACGGGGAGGAAAAGTGTTAAATTCCAGCTGCACCAGGGACCAAATTCCCTGGGAGTGGAGTGGAGCAGGCTGAGGAGCCAGGGATCCCAACAGTGGGACGTGGAAAAGGGGCTAAAAACTTTTAGGGGAGGGATTTCTGACCGTGCAGCTCAGGAAGAGAAGGGCTGGAGGGAGAGAAAGATGGAATTAACCGGGACCCAAGTGAGTCAGGGCCCCAGGGGCTGCTCCATGGGGAGGAGAAATTCAGCTCCTGGGACTCTCAGTCACAGCTGAGGGTTTCCATGGATTGCTGCTTCCCAAGGTTTGGCAAAACACACCAGGACTGGCTGCTGTGGAGCATTCCCTGCCACCAGCAGCACCCCTTTGGCTCTGGAAAGGAAGGGACTAAATCCTGACCACCCCCCAAAACCTCACCACCCTGAAACAGGGCAGTGTTAAAGGAATCCCCCACCACCACCCCAAACCTCAGGGTTTGGGGGCAGCACCGTGACTGTTGCACCTGCAGGGATGCTCGTGGGCCCCAGAGCGTCCCAGCACTCAATGGCCGCTCCAAACTGGGAACACTGGGCAGGTGGGGTTGGTTTCACTGCTCTGTGCCTCAGATTCCCCCTTCTCCCAAGCCACACCGGTGTTTTTCCCAGTGGGGACCTGGAAAAGTGGCCATTCCCACGGCCCTGCTGAGCCTTTGGCACAGAGCAGGGAGCTCCCAGTACAAACCAGTCCTGCTCCAACCCCAGCCAGGGCTCCATCACGACCACCTCTGCTCCCACCAACACATTCCTCCTGCTAGAAAGCCTTTCCAGGAGCAGCTCAGCACAACAGGAAAACAGGAAACACGGGAAGAGCAGATCCAAATAACACCACCCCTCGGTTGGGGAGGGGTGGGAGGGGATGTGTTTAAGGAGTTGAATTCTTGTGCTTGGGTTTATTTTTAATTTTGTTGAGTGTTTTTATTTGGAGCTTTGCACCACTCAGCATCTCCCCGAGGTGAGGAGCCCGCAGGGATGGGCAGAGGAGCGGATTCCCCTTTTAGAAGGAGTTCAACCCTCACTGTCCCAGCATCCTCTGCCTGTGAGTGCTGCTCAAACCCCTCCCTGCCCACCTGACCCCTGCCCAGGGGGTGAAATGCCTGCAGGACTTCTTGCCCATCCACAGGGTTTTGTTTAACACCTCTGAATGCCTCCAGAATTCCTTTGGACCCCCAAATGCCCGTCAGAGTGTGCGGGGCAGGTTTATGAGCTGGGGGTGAGGGGGGATGGGACTGGGTGGGGGTGTGGGAGGTGATGTCTGGGGATTGGGGGGCAGCGTTTTGGGGATGATCTGAGAGCAGCTGGGAGAGGAGACACATGCACAGAGAGCCTGGGGATGGGCCTGGTTTTGGGGAAAACACCCTGGGCATGTCAGTGGGGAGGGACTGTCTGCATGCCCGGGGGGGCTGTCGGTGTGGGGTCCTGCTGTGTGTGAGCACACGGTGCTGGGGCCCTGGGGATGTGTGTGGATGGGGGGGCTGGGGAAGGTGTGTGTTTTGTGTGTTAACAGCTGAGAGCCTGTACTCTCATGTCCTGATGGGCACCGTGTCCTGATGGGCACCATGGGTGGCATCAACCCGGTGACATTGGGGGATGGGGGGGCCACGGGGTGTCCTTTGGGGCTGCTGCTGCTGCAGGAGAGAAGCATGAGCTCCTCAGGGACAGCCACAAGGATCCCATTTGCTTGAGGACCAGCCCTGACCCCCTTTCCACACCTCGGCCAGTGAATGTGGGGTTTTGGTGTGGCAATGGGAGCGACCCAGCGAGAGGAACCCCAGCACTCCACCTGTCCTGGAGCATCCTCGGCCTCTGCCAGGACTCAGCCCTTCCAAGAACAATCCCTCATCTCCGTGTGCCCAAGAGGGTGCAAAGGAGGCAGGGATTGAGTTTGCCTCTTAGTTTCAGCCCAGCTCCCCCGAGTGTGATGCACTGGGAGGAGACTGGGAGGTGATGGAAGACGTGTCCTGTAGGATGGGAGGAGGGGGATGGCAACGAGGGAACCCACACAAACCACGGGGAAATCCCATCTCACCACAGGGCCAGAGAGCTGGAGACACAACCCCAGCAGGGCCCCATCCCACGCCCCCACCGGCGCGTTCCGGGATCTTACCCTGGCGGCCTTGGACGAGTAGGGATCCTCAAAGAGCGCCCACATCTTGGGCTGCCAGTTCCGACAGCAGCCACCCCCTCCTGCGGCCCCTGCCGCCCCGGGGGGCCTGTCATCCATGCCCAGGCGCTGCAGGGCCATCTCCCTACCCCCTTCCTCTTCGGGCTCCTCTCCCCCGGCCCCTCCGCCGGGCTCGGGGCTCTCGAAGATGTCCAGGGCCTCCTCGGCGTCGCGGTGCTGCCGGTAGGTCATCCAGCAGCAGGGCTCCACGTCGGTCTCGTCGATGCCCCAGTAGGTGAGCTCCTCCTCGAAGAGGGGCCCGCAGATGTCCGCGGGGCAGTGCAGCTTGCCCGTGCGGTAGTAGTTGAGCACGTAGGAGAAGATGCCGGGGTGCCGGTCGAAGAAGAACTCGTTGCTCTTGCCGTCGAAGTCGAAGTTGCTCTGGGCGTCGGGGTCGGCCAGCCAGGCCAGGCGGGTGCCCGGCAGAGTCCGCAGGGTGCTCTTGTAGGTCTCATGCCGGGTGCCCCCCACGTTGATGGTGATCTTGTCCGACTCTTCCCCTTTGCCCATCTCTTCCTTCAGGCATGTTTTGGAGGGTGGTTTGTTCCCAGACTTGCGTCCACGGTAGGAGGAGACACACACCGAGCTGATCATAGATTTGGGTGGATGGGAGATGCACGGAACGCGCACCCTTCCTCCGGGCCAGGAGCTGGGGGTCGGCGCAGGCGGGAGAAGGGGGCACGGATGGGGCTGGGGGAGGGGAAAAGGGGAGGCTCAGGCTTGGCTCTGGCCTCGAGGGGAACGAGCTGGAGCCGAGCCGGACACCGCTGGCTGCCGGGGGACAGCAGGGGAGGCTGCAACCTCCACCCCCTCCCAAACCACCCCCCCGAATAAAACCGCCCTAAACCGGGAGCCAGTCCAGCCCCGCCGGGCAGCAACAAGTGCAGGATGGAGAGGGCCCGGGGAGGGCCGGGGGGTGCTGCGGGCCCAGCCGGGAGGATGCTGGGGAAGGGCTGGGGGGATGCTGAGCCCCGCCGGGTGCCGTGTCCGTGTCCTCCCCCCCACCGCCCGGTACCTGCAGCGCCAGGCGCGGGGGGGGCCCCGCCGCTCGCCCCTCCCGCTCCGGTGGCTCCCTCCGCCCCCCCGGGCCGGGCTCGGGGAGGGGGCGGCGGCCGGGGGGCAAGTCCCCGGTCCCCAGCGGGGAGAGGTGGGGATGGATGCGCCCCCCCTCCCGCTCCCCCTCCCCGGAGGGGCCCCGCTCACGCGTGGCCGGGCCAGGGGGGCCTGTTGCTCCCCGGCGCTGCCTCCCGGGGCTCGGCGCGGGGGAGGCGGCGGGAGCGGCTGCGGGGCTCGGCGGGGCTTTTATAGGGCTGGGAGCGAGCGGCGGGGTTACGGGAGCCGGCGCCGCCCCGCCGGGGGGCCGGAGACCCCCCGCCCCAGCGCCCAGCCCCTCAACCCCCCCATTCCCTCCCTCTGCGCCCCCCACCGCTGCCCTCCCTCCCATCCCCGCATCCCTCCCTCCCATCCCCGCATCCCTCCCTCCCCTCCATCCCCCCATCCCTCCATCCATCCCTCCATAACCTCCACCCACCCCCAGCCCAGCCCCCCCGCCTCCCCGCAGGTCCCCCCGCACCCCCGGGCCCCGCTCACCTCCCCGCGGGGCCCGACGTGCCGCCGAGGGTCTCGGGGGGTCGGTGTCAGCGAGGAGTGAACCTCGGACACCCCAGCTCCGCTTCGCGCCGGAGGGGAAATGCAGCCCAGAGCTGCCTGCGGATCTGGAGCCAGCTCTTGGCAGAGGCTCCCGCAGATCCCATCCCTCCCTGGCTCTCAATCCCTCGCTCACTGAGGGGTCAGGAGACACCGACCCCAGGGCCGGTGGGGAGCTGGGGGGCCGCAGGCAGACCTGCCCCCCCCCTTCCCTCCCACTGCCCTCCCCGAGCATCTCTCCGCCCTGTTTCGGCTCCTGCGTGAGCGATTTCCCTTCCCCTCCACGGCAGCCGGGGCTGGGACCCGGGGCACCGACCACCCCCAGGCTCTCCCTCTAAGCCCCCCTCCTTGGGGAGGGGTCCGACACCCCCGGGGTGCTGCTGGCGCTCCCTCTGGGCTCCTGGGGCTGCGGAGGAGCTGCGGTGCCCCCGGGGCCAAGGCTGTCACCCCGGGGAAGACCCGAGGGACTCATCCAGCCAGCGCTGTTTATTCCTGCACTGGCACTGCTGGTGCTGGGAGGGCTGGGGGTGTGTGCAAGTGGGGGTTTGGGGGTCGTGGAGGGGATCCAAGCCCAGCCACAGGCCTGTTATTGGGGTGGGGGGCTGAGCCGGAGGGGTCAGCACTGGGGTGAGGGGGTCCTTGGTGCGGGGTGAGGGTTGGGCTCGTGGTCAGTGAGTGGGGGATGCTCACCCAGCACCTCTCTCTGTGCCTCCCAGCACTGTGTGGGGCGTCCCCCCAGGTCCCCTGGCCATCCCCTGCCCGCTTTTGCCCCCTCATACGTTGCCCACCACCCCCCATCCCGTATCCACGGGGTGTTGGGGGTGTTGGGGGCAAACGCTCCACCCCCAAAAAAAAAAAAATCAACAAAAAAAACCCCCAACAAAACAAAAACCCCCACGGGGCACGAGAGCCACGCTCAGATCTTACCACCAAGAAAGCCCTGCTCCAAGTGTGCCTGCAACTCCAGAGCTCGCAGGGCCGGATCCCGAGCGGGTGGAGGAGGCTGGCGGAGCTCCACACCCCGAGCGCCCGGAGCGGCACCGGCGGGAGCGCCCCGGAGCCCGAGGGAAAAGCGTGCTGGAAAAATCGAGCCTTGCATCACCGGCCAGGCATCGCAGCTCAGCTCCTCGGTGGCGGCGAGGCGAGTTTTGGCCGGGAGGGAAGGAGGAATGCTGCGACCTGCGGCTAATTTTTTTTTTTTTTTTTTTTTTTTTTTTTTTTTTTTTTTTTTTTTTTTAGCCCCAGACTTTCATCCCGCCGGGGGATGAGCTCCGTGCACCCGAGCGCGGCCGTTCCCGGGGACGGGGAGGAGGTGGCCAGGCAGACAAATGGGGTTGTATCTGGGGAAGGAAGAGATCTTTTAGCCCAGCAACACCCGCCCAAAGCTGTCTGCTCTCCAAATATGCCTTTGGATTTTTAATGTCCATGGGAGGGAAAAAAAAAAAAAAAAAAAAAAAAGGAAGAAAAAAAAGAAAAGAGAGAGAGAGAGAAAGAAATGGCAAGAGCTGGATGAATAAGGGCCTTTTTGGAGCAAGAGGGAGTCACTCCTGCAGGGACCTCCTGCAAAGGCTCGAGGCATCTCAGATAACACCCAGGAGAAGGACGTAATGAAGAGCAGGACCTGGAAGACCTCAAGGAGGATCAGCTCCAGCCTGGAAAGCCACACGCCTGAGGGGGAAGGGGGGGGTCCTGAGGACGTGGTGAGGGGGTCTGTGGGTCCACCCCGCTGGTCTCAGCCCCTGAGCCAGCCCCACACCCTGAGCCTTGCCCGTGGTCCCTCGGGCAGGTCCCCAGAGGTGGGAGGGACCAGCACAGAGGGCCGGTGGGATTCTCCAAGAGCTGAGTGGCCTCACGGAGGGCTTGGGGACACGCTGGGATCCTGCCACGTCTCCATCCACCAGGGGATGGAGGAGGAAGGTAGAGCAGGGGCACCAGCTTATTGAGGGACAATCCTGCTTTGGCTTAGAAACTGCCAAACTGACCTCTCCGGGTCCTTCCAGCCCAGGATTCCACTGCTAAAAGCTGTGTTGGCCTCAGGAACCCCTGGGTGCTCCGAACAAGCTCTCTGCCCTCCTCCCACCGTGTTTTTGGTGGGATAAATCCATCTCCGGTGGTGGCAGCTGTGGCTGGGGGTGCCCACAGCACCCTCCCCCCACGGTGTGAGCCCCAAAAAGCCTCTCAGGACACTCTCTTGGAGGAGGGTCTTCCCAAAAAGCTGCCACCATCCCATCCATCTCCACCACCTGCCTCTGCCAGGTGAATTTTTCCAGCTAAAATCACCCATTTTTTTCAGTTGTGCGGGTCGCACGGGCGGAGTTCGCAGCCCCATCCCCTCTGCGGCCTCTGCCTGGAAGGGGGGAGCTCGCTCATCCCCTGCTTCCCAGGCAGGGAATGCTTCCCAAATTCCCGGCGAGGTCCCTGTGCCCTGTCTGACAGTGCCACCTTGTGTCCTGCGCTCCGGCTGGAGCCGAGGCAGGGAAAACAGGGGAGCGCGGCTGGCTCCATCCACCGCATCGCTGATGCAATTTTGCTCCACAAAAGCAATTTGGGAGTGGGAGGAGGCTGGGCAGGAGCGGAGACGCCAGTGGAGACCGTCTCGCCTTTGGAACGAGCGGGAGCGGTGCGGGAGCTGGGCCGTGTCTCGGTTTCCCCGTCTTTGGATTTCGGGATAACTGTCCTTTCCCTTCCCGAGGTGCTCGGGGAATCATGGCAAGATGTTGCCGTGGTAGCTCCACCGTGTGTCCGTGCCCTGGTTCAGAGCTGGTTTGAGATGGGACACCCAAAACCCACCCCCTGAATCCCACAGCACCAACCCTCACCTCTCCCCAGGCTCTGAAATCTCCCTCCTTCCCTGGCACAGGAAATTCAGTTAATTGGGGGGTTTTTGTGTTTTGTTTTGTTTTGTTTTTCAAAGTAGGTGTTTGGTTTAAATTCGACATTTGGACCCATTTCTTTGTTGTTTTTTCTACCCCCACCCCCAGGTTTGTTTCCCTTCAGCTTTTTTCGGGGAGCTCTGGGATTTTCTGGCCCCTCCAGACCCTCTGGGAGCACAGGCAGGGCTGAGTCCGGCCGGCTCAGCACAGCAGTGACTCCCACACTTGGGTCCCCCCTCTGTGTCCCCTCTCTGAGGAGGATGAGCAGGAGCAGGTTGAGATCTCCATCCCTGCTGCCCCAGAACGGAGCTGTGCAGGATCAGAGCGTCCCGTTGTCCTGATCATCGCTCCTGGGGGGTGTTTTCCCCCAGAGATGAATCCTGGACACCCTCTGGGCACAGATCCCCCCTGTCCCTTCCCTGGGCAGTGCTGCTGCAGTTGGTGGCCATGGCAGTGCCCTGATGGCACCCCCAGAGCCGAGGGACCCACCCTGAATTCTCCCCCCACTTCCTCACATTCCCTGGGGCTGGATAAGCCCCGGAGGAGCCAAACGAGCCACCAGAGATGGGAGGGAAGGGAAGAGGCCCTCCCCTCTCCCCACCAAACCTGTTGCTAAGCTCATTCCCAACACTTGAAAGCATTTGGGAGGCTGGAAATCCTCCAGGGAGAGTCTCCAGAGGCCCAGGACCCCCTCCAGGGGAGGGGGGGACCCCAATGCCCGTGGATGCCAACGATGCCCTTCACTTTATCTCTCTGCCACCCCCGACACCTCAGAGAGATCCCCCCCCACAAAGCCCACCCCGAGAAAGGAAACAGAGGCAGAGACTTGGTTTGGTAAGAAGAGACTTTTAATCAGACTCTGGATACAGCTCTTACAGGGTTTCTCTCGGCGGCCGAGGGGCCCGAGCGGGAACTACGGGGCTACAGGGGATGTGCCACGATGGGGTCTGTGCTTTTACCTGTACAGGAGGGTTCCACCGGCCTTTGTGCTCTCCCCAGGGGAAGTGGATCCTCCCTGGGTGCTCCCGTGGCCGTGCATTGTCCCCTCCCAGCCACCAAAGGCCACTGTCCCGGTCACCGAGGCCACCCAGCTCTGCCCCCGCCCCTGCCGGCGAGAGCCGGGCTCGGGGAGGGGACCAGGGGCAGGAGAAGGCAGTGGGAGTCGCTCCTGGAGCTGCTGGGGGTTTATGTGGCCTGTCAGGGTCTGGGTGAGGGCTGGGAGGTGAGGCAGGGGCTGTTCTGGGGGGGATTAAGGGGAAGGAGCCGTGGGCCGCCCCTCTGACTCCAACCATCCCCTCTGACTTGCACCGGGAGCAAGGTCCAGCCCCTGGAGCAGAGCCAGGTGCTGGGGGATGGAATATCCCAACTCCAGCCCTCATTTCTGCCTTCTCCAGACCCCCTGAGCCCCTCCCCAGGGCTTGGATCCCCTCCCAGTCCCCCCAGCAGCTCCTTGTCCCCAGGCAGCAGGGTCAGGGCTGGGAACCGAGCAGGGAGGGGGGACAGGGACATCGGCAGCGTCCTCATCCCACTGCCCGGAGGAGAACTGAAAAAGTGCCTGTGCTCACAACTAGCAGCTATTCCCTGTTCCCTGCGCAGAGAGAGAGGGGAAAAAAAAAAAAAAAACGTGATTTCGGGGGCTAAAAAGCCACTGGAGGTCGGCCCCACCCACAGCCTGGGACCCCGAGGAGGAGCGTGGAGGGAGAACCTGCCCCGGCGAGCGGGAGAAACCACCACACACACACACCCCGGCCCTAAGGCAGGCTCGGAGAGTGAGAGAGAACAGCCAGAAGTGAATCCTAAACCCAGGCACACCCACGGACAGGCGCACCACACCCCACGCACGGACACACACGCGACGACACGGACCACTTAAAACACACACCCCCCCACCCAAACAAACACACGCACACTCCCCCCACCCCCAACACCCCGCGTCTAACACCGAATGCCACGACAAAACACGGTATTTCCACAGATAAAAGCAAAGGTGTCGTCCCTCTTCCTCCTCCTCCTCCTCCTCCTTTTCCTCTCTGCAGGATCCGCCCGGGGTAGTTGGACCCTCCCTGGGCTGGGGGCGGGGGGAAAGGGACGCCCACCCCCCACCCATATCCACGGACAAGAAATAAAAAGGTTAAAAATATGTCCCTCTCTGGAATGAGAATTGATCTGTACAGCACTGGGAATGAAAATAGATCACGGGCCACTTTGGAGTACGGCTTGTCATTTAACAGCATTTACAGTGACATTTACAGAATAAATATACAATAGAGATAGAGAATCTCTAGGTTATCATTCCATCTCCTCTCTCTGTATATATTTTATATATATATATTTGTGTATATATATATAATATAGCTCTTCTTTTTTTGTTTGTTTGACTTCGCCTCCCGTCGGTGCTGCGAGGAGAGGGGAGGGAAGGGAAGCAAAGCCTCCCTGGCTGGTTTGGGAATTGGGGTGGGGGGGGGTGGGAGACACGAGGGCTGGATCCTTTTTTCCTCCGGGGTTAAGGGAACCCCACACCCTGGGGGTGGGTGGGATGAAGCATTTTGGCCATGGGACATGTCCTGCTCTGCTGACTGCACGGGAAAGGGGACGCTGGGCAAGGATTTGGTTCATCCTGTTTTGCTGCTGGGGTGGAGATGGATCCAAACAGAGATGGGAAGGAACATATTGATTAACACCAAGGGGAAACCCCCCAGGTTTGGGCTTCTCCCTGCCAGGGGTGGTGCAGGGGGGACATTTCAGTGTCCCTCTGCATGGGCAGGGCAAGGAGAATGACCTTGGAGGGACGGAGAAAGTGGGGGAAACTGCTGGAGGAGCTTTGCTGATCCCAACCCCACGGATCTGGTGCCTCTCAGAGCCACCACTGAGCTGCCTCACTTCAGTCCCTGCCTCCTTTTTTCCCCCAGGAAAAATGGTTGATGAAGGGCTTGAGTTAATTGTCCAGGAAGAGTGCCCGGGTCACCAGCCAAGCCCACGAAGAAGGGCTACAAATAAAGGATCAGAACCCACAGGAGATGTCACAGTTGGGAACTTTCCTGGCCCCAGGAATGCTGAGAGAGGTCAGGGATGTGGGGAAGGGACCAGGTACCTTCTGCCTTCACCTCCCAAACAAAACCAAGGTGGAAGAAGAGCCATTGACAGGAAAACAGAGGAGGGAAGGGAGAGAAGGACTCATGGACCAGCACCCCCAAAGCTGACCTTCAGACACAACCCAAGCCCAGCAGGACCAAGGATGAGGTGCTCCCCCAGCTTTTGGGGGCCACAGCAAAGTGCTGAGAGGGAGACAGAGCCCAAGCAGGCTGCTGCTTCCCTGCCCCCACTGGGAAAGGGGGAATGTGCCAGGTTATGCTGGGACCCTCAGCTGAAGTGCTTGATCACGTGTGGCATTCAGGGAATTTGGGAAATGACCCCCAGTCCCAGTGGGAGAGACTCAGGGCTGGCAGATCCCACCCTTTCCCGAGCAACCTGGGCAGAAACAAGCTGAAGTCACGTCAATCTGATCCCAAAAAAACCCATGGATGGGCACAGCAGAGGCCCCTGGGCTCTGCCAGGGGCTCCCCACCCTCATCAAGAGCTGAGGAGATCTGGGATCTCCCACTCCTTGGACTCCCAACAGCTGCTGGTTCAACGGATGCCTGTGCTCCCCAAAAACTGGTCACCCCCATCCAAAAGCTGGTGAGCTCCTGTGGGAGTGCAACAGGACCCCCAAAGAAGGAAGGGGGGGTGTCAAAGAGAACACGAGGAGAAATGAGGAGGCCAGTCCAGAGAGAATCACTGCCCAGCTCCCCTTGGCTGGAGGGGCACAGGGAGAAAATCAGGAGGGGGGTGGATTCCTGAGAGCTAAAGCAGGACTGAGGATGTCCCACAGCTTCTCTGGGTGTCCCTCTGGGCCTCCTGAAGAGGGGAGCAGGAGGAGATGATCACCATGCCAGGGATTTAGGTTCAGCAGAACACCCCACGTGTGAGGAATAACTCCAGGAGAGCTCCCCTGTCCCCCAGCCTGACCCCACAACACTCACACATCCCAACCACCGTCCCTTCAGCACAAAAACTGCCGCTCCATCCCACAGCCACGCCACCTCCGTGCCTCCAAACCAGCCACCGTTCCCCTGCTGGTGGCAACAAAGATTCCAAGGATCCACCATCCAGCCCCAGCCACCCCCCCTCCCGCCCTTCCCGGGTGCTGCTCCCTCTGCCAACCCTGGTCAGGATTTTGGGGGGCGAGGGGGTTGTTTGGGTGTGTCCACAGCTATAAAAACCTACAGGGGAGATACAACAACAACGACGATGGTGACGACAACAGCACCTCTTTGTGCTCTGAACACCGAGGGGTAAATTGTGCTCGTTGGAATAAGGCCATGACTCCTCCCGGATAAAGGACAAAGGACAGGAGGGAAGAGCGCTGGGCGGCAGGAGGGGAACGGGCTCGGCTTCCCAACCCGCCTCCAGGTCCTTGTTCCAACCATCAGCTGCTTAGAAAAAAAAAAGAGATTCTTTGCTTCAGATTCGAGAGAGCGGCTCTCGGAAAGGTCGCAGCGCCTCCTCCTCCTCCTCCTTCTCCTCCTCCTCCCGCCCCCGGGGGCGGCCCTGCCTTTCCCAGCCGAGGGTTGTCGGAGGAGTCCTGCCCCTCCCTCAATCCCTCCTGCCCGGAGTCACCTCAGAAACGGCTGCTTTGGGCTATGATTTTTAACAAGTGTGTGTGTAGGGGGGGTGTTTTCTTCTTCGTCTTCCTTAGCAATGAATTTTTTTTTTCCCGTCGCCCGGACAAGCCAGGATCCGCTGGCCGGTGCCCTCCTCTCCCTGCGCGGAGCGGGGAGAAGGGAGGGGCGGGCAGGGTTGGCACCGTCACAGTTCGGACTCGGGGGTGCTGGCCAGGAGGTAACCGCTCCCGTATCGTCCGTTGGGAGCGCTGCTCATTTCCAGGGGGGAATTGCTGCCGGGCCCCAGGTAGGAGCGGTGGGTGGGCATGGGGGACGGCGTCTCGCTGGGCACTTTGCTCAGGATGAAACGGGTCTCGTCGTTGTCCTCCAGGTTGGAGATGTCCTTCATCATCCGGCCCTTCTTGTAGGTGACGGAGAGGGCGTTGGAGCCATCGGACACGAGGTGGAACTGCCGGAGGATGAAGACCAGGGGCAGGGGGAGGGACGCCAGGATGATCAGGGAGATGAGGATGGCCATGGCCCAGGTTGGGTAGAACAGGAACTTCTCAGCAGCCTGGAAGGAGCGGATATTGATGTCAAGGGGCTGTCACCGCAGAGGTGACACCCACCAGGCACCACGTCCCTGAAGTGGGAGATAATCCCTGCGAGGCTCCATCCTGGAGACGGCAGACAGGGGGTTCCAACTGAGGGGAAGGACACAGAGACCAACCCCAATCCACGCTCAAACTCCAGCCCGTGCTCAGAACCGGCTGGAGACATCTGGGCCGGGTGGGCAAACCCCGCTGGCTCTCAGGGGGTCACCCCGGGGAGGGTGGTGACCTCCAGGACCTCCTACTCATCCAGGACCCCCGGGGTGGGGAAGGAGGGGGGGGCTGTGCTCACCTCCTCCCTGATCCAGGCGCTGTATCCCGGCGGGCTGACTCCCAGCTGGATGATGCTGGCTGTCATCAGCACGGCCATGCAGATGGGCGACACGTACTTCCAGGTGTAGTAGTAGAACTGGTAGGGCCGGAATCCCAGCATTTCCGTCAGCTCCTGCATGAACCTGTGGGGAAGGGAGGGGGGGAAGGTGGAATCCTGCTGTTCTCCCCACCTCTGAGGGACAAACTCCCTCCCAGGAGCCCCTCTTGTGAGTTGTGCTCAAGGCAGAACCTGAAGTAGAACCCAGCTGGTCTCAGGGAGCATCTCAGTGTCCCTCAAGCCTGTAGGGCTTGTGGGAAACTCCTAAGGAAAAGGCCTTTTGAGGATTATCCAGAGCCTCCTTCGCTCTGGCCAACAAGAAGCACTGGGGGGGGAGAAAACGAGGTGTCCTTGCAGAAGGACCTGGAAACCTCAGGAAAAAAAGGTCATTCTTGGAGAGTCAGGGCACCAAGACCACCAGGAGACATCCACAAAAAGGACCTGCTCCTGGGTGGGGCTCGGTTACACCAGGGCAGGGCAGGAGGGTCAGGGTGAACTGAACTTTTCTGGAGAAAAAAGAAAAACAAAATGGAAAAAAAAACTGGAAGGAGGGTTTTGGTTTTTTTTTTGTTTGTTTGTTTGTTTTTTAGCCAGGAGCTATTCCTTCGGCTGCACAAAGATTCCTTACTTTTTGGTGCCATAAATCCAGGCCACAGCGATGTTCTCCAGGATCACCACCACGGTGAGGGGCAGCGTGGCCGAGTAATCGTCAAACATGGTGACAAAGTAGTTCCCAGAGCGCTGCACGAAGATCAGCCCCACCAGGAAGGCGAAGATGCAGCAACCCACTGTGGGGGAGCAAACAGGGGATGGTCAGCAGGGACCCCTGAGGGACACCAAAGCCTCCCCAAGGCCCATTCCCCGCATTAGCAAGGCCCAGCTCACACCCCCACGGTGCCCACACTCCCCTGGGACGTCTCCTTAGGGCCACGGGGGACCCCCCCCCACCCCACCCGTTCCCCGGGGGGCTGAAGGAGAAAGGGCCTCCTCACCTGTGAACACCTCCTTGCGCACCTTGAAGGTGTCGATGATGGGGGTGGTGATGCCCGACATGGTCCCGATCATGCTGCCCAGGCCCAGGTTGATCAGCATCAGGAAGAACATGACGGACCAGAAGGGCGAGGCCGGGAAGTGGGTCATGGCCTCGGTGAAGGCGATGAAGGCCAGGCCAGTCCCTTGCACTGACTGTTGAGGGGGGGGAGGAGGACACAGGACCAACAGAAACACGTCAGGGGCACGGACCTGGAGCCCCTGAAGGGCTCAGGGCTCCCTCCCTGGACAGGTCCTCAAGGAAAGAAAACCCCAGCCTGCTGCAGGCTGATCACTGCAAGTCTTGCTACGGACAAACCCCCCCCTGACCCCAGGAGAGGCCACAAGGGGAAAAAAAACGCGAGGGTGTGGATTTCCCAGCGCTGGAGGGTCTCCAAAAGAAGTTTTCCCACATCCACGTGGCCAGGATTGACACAGGGAGGGGCAGGGGGTGTGAGGGGGAGCTCCTCGGGGGTGCCACCGGGTACCTTGTCGAGCTCGTCCTCCAGCAGGCAGGCGTCCAAGCCCAGCTCCTTGAAGTGCCCCTCCTTCACCGTCATGATCACCCTGTACATCTCGTTGTAGTCCTTGGCAGTCAGGTGGGAGAAGTTCACGTGGGGGGGGATGAGGTCGTGGCTCAGCACGTTGGTGTTCAGGTAGCCCAGGATCTTCTCGGCGTTCCTGAGGGGACAGCAGAACCTCTCAGGCGGCGGGAGATGGGTTGGATTTACCTGTGGTTTGTGGAGCCCGTCTTGGGGCTGCATTTTAGGCTGGAAGAGCTGAATGCCCAATTCTCTCAGCGGGGACATCTCTAGAAACACAAGTCCTGGCCATCAGGAACTCATATCCACCAAAACCCAGGATCTCCCCCAACTCCAGAGCAGTTCCTCTGCCACCTCCAGACCCGCCACAACCAGCAGCAACAGCAGAGGCAGCAAAGAACCCCCCCACCCCAAAAAAAAAAAAAAAAAACAAAAGCAGCTCTTACTCCACCACGCATTTCTCGTTCATGATGTTGGCCTTGAAGCCCAGCACAGCAAACACCACCAGGGTGGCCAGCACGGACGTGAAGAAGTTGATGAAGGACACGAGCGTGGCGTCGAAGTGGCAGTTGTTGTCCTGCTTGTTGTAGCTGGAGAAGGCGATGACCCCCCCAAAGCCCAGGCCCAGGGCGAAGAAAACCTGCGTGGCCGCCTCCCGCCACACCTGGGGGTCCAGCATCTTGTCCAGCTTGGGAGGAGGACAGGAGAAGGAGTTCAGTGGTCTGGAGACCCCCACAGCTCCCCCCAGCGCAGCCAGAGCTCCATTCAAAGGCTGCTGGGCCTCCAGACTGGGCTGGGTTTGGAGTTTTGGTGGGGGGAGGTGGAATGGGATGATCCTCAAGGTCCCTTCCAGCCCCAGGGAACCACAATCCACCCAGGGATGCGTGTCCTGGCCACCTCCTCCTCCTTCCAGAGCACATGGAGCACTGGAAATCCAACATCCTGCTTGGGTGGGAAGGGAGGGGGGAGTTGTTTTTAACTCCCAATCTCCCCCCCAAAACCACATCCCCCCTCTCCTGGGAGCCAGAGCCTGGAGGCCTCCCAGCATCATTCATCAAGAGCCCATAATTAATATCTTCCAACAGCCTCGCCGGCCGAGCTGATTCATCTACATCGCTGCTTAATTAATTAATTAGCTGCTTAATTAATAGGCACATACCACCAGCAGAGGTTTTGCTGCCAGATGGAGCCATTCCATGAGGTGTTGATGTTTATATTCAGCCTCAGGTCCCCCTCCCCACTCCCCACCCCTGGTGTCTGGGCAGCTGAGGGGAAAGGGGTGATGCTGAGAGGGGGCTGAGTTTGTGAAGCTCCTGGCTGTCCTGGCCACACGCTAAATTTTGGGTGCTGATGACCTATCAGGATTCCCCGAGGTGGTTTGGGGTCAGCGCTCTCATTTTTAGGGTGGGGAGGAAAATAAGGGAAATATGAGGAAATAAAAAGAGGAGTAAGAAAAATAAAGGGGGAAATGAGGGGTCACCAGCCAGGAGGAGAACCTGTTTGGGGTCTGGGGGCCCTCACCTTGGGTGTGAACATGTGCATGATCCCATCCACTGCCCCACGCAGGAGGAGCCCCCGCACCAGGAAGCAAACCAGGACCAGGTATGGGAAGAGGGAGCTGAAGTACATCACCTGCAGCAAGAGGGATAAAACACGGCCACAGCCTCATTTCCCACCCAGCCACCCACATCCAACCCACCCACAGCACACAGGGGACAAGGGAGGGGGGTCCCATCCCAGGGGGAGGTTTATTCCTCAGGGCCCCTCGGGGCGGGATGTTCCCGGTGCTGAAGCTCGGCTGGATTTGCTGCCCTGGCCGATCCTTGGCTGCAGGTTGGACTAAACACCTTCCTCACACTAACCCTTATCCTGCAACCACCACCTCTCCCCACAGAGATGGCCCCAGCTGTGGAGCGGCTGGGAGCATCCCAAGGGACACAGCACCCCTCCCAGAGCAGGAGGAAGGGTCTCCACCCTCCCCTGGCCACCTCCCGCTCCCAATGCACCTGAAGTGCTTGAAACCAAACATCAGAGGAGATGTTTGACACCCCAGGCTGGGGCAGGAGGTTCCTGCCCTGGGGACAGAGCCCAGCCGGGCTCAGGGGAGGCCACCAACACCCACCTTCCCCGAGGACTGGATGCCTTTGATCATGGCCAAGCCAACAAGGCTCCAGGCCACCAGCAGGCACAGGGTCATCTTCCAGTTGAGCCCCCCGCTCTCCGAGATGGAGTTGGAGATGTCCAGGGTCTCCCGGTACCAGAAGTAGGTGGTGGCCGAGCTCCTCTCGCATTCTGCCTCCACAACTGCAACAGAGCAGGGGCAGGAGGTGTGAGGGGGGTGGGGGATAATCACCCGCTGCCTCTTGGGGTTGGTCTGGTGTAAAAAACCCATCGGAGCAGACCGGGGAAGGGAGGCACCTCTGGAAACCCAGAGGCAGGGATTGGTGGGTTTTGTTTTCAGCAGGAAAAACGAGAGAGAGAACATAAAGCCTTTGCCAGGGGAAAATGAGGTGTTAAATACAGGGAGAGACGTTTTTATTTGCTGTAAACCCCCTCGGAGTGTCCCGAGGAGGTGCTCAGGTGTTTCTGTCAGAACAGCCAGGTCCCGGGTCAGATCCTGGCCTCAAGTACTGAGGGAGCCTGAAAACCCACACTCTGCATTCCCAAACTGCCTCCAAATCCCACCAAGTGGGGCTGGACAGCGTGGGAGACCCCCACCCAACCCACGGGAGAGCAGAGAGGACTCACTGTCCCAGAACACCCCCCAACCTCTGGTGGCTCCAACCTGTGACAGCTACAGGTGTTGGGGGTCCCCAGTGCCCCTCAGCCCCCCTTCCCTGGGAGCTGCTCCCTCCCAGCTGATCCCCCCCCTACCCCCAGGGCTGTTCCCTACCGGCCACCGAGCCGTTCTTCACGAGGGGACACTCGCTCCAGGGGAGGGGGTACTGGAAGGACTTGAAGAAGTAGAAGATGCTCCAGCCGATGATGACGTTGTAATAGAGACCGACAAAAAAGCACACCTGGGCGGGGAGAGGAGGGAGGGAGGGCGCGGCCTCGAATCACAGGGCGGTGTCACCGTCCCCGCCCTCCCGTTGGGCACAGAGTGGGGCGCAGGGGTGGGGGATGATCACCCCACGACCTCCCAAACCTCCCCAAGGGCCCCCCCCCACCCCGGGGTTTGGTTCCACCCACCCCACGCAGCCCGAGGTGGGGTCTGGGGGCTCCCCCCGGGGGTGCTCACCAGGCAGCTGGCGTAGCCGATGCCCCCCAGGCGGGGGCAGATGTAATTCCAGACGCCGATGCTGCCCCGGCGGATCCGCTGCCCCACTGCCAGCTCCAGGAAGAACAGGGGGAGCCCGATGATGATGAGCAGGACCAGGTATGGGACCAAGTAGGCACCTGGGAGGGGAGGGAAAGGTGGTCGTGGACCCCTCCCCGTGTTCCCAAGGACGTGGGAGAGGGGTGGGCAGGCAGGGATGGGCTCTGCCTCCATCAGTTCCTTTGTGAACGAGCTCGAGTTGCACCAGGGAAGGTTTAGATTGGATATTAGGAAAAATATCTCCCTGGAAAGGTTGGTCATGCCCTGGCAGAGCTGCCCAGGGCAGAGGTGGAATCACCATCCCTGGAGGGGTTTAAAAGATGTTTGGATTTGACACTTGGGGACACGGGGTAGTAGCGAACCAGTGAACCCAGTTAGTGCTGGCTTTGGCTGGGTGGTCTTGGAGGGTTTTTCCGACCTAAAAGATTCCGTGATTCCATGATCTGGGAATGCAGATCAGAGCCTGGCCGGCAAAGGAGCTGTGGAGAGGAGCAAACACCCGGTGTGGGGAAGGGAAGGGAAGGGTGCAACACCCCCTGCCAGTGTGGGGACAGGAGATCGACCCCAGTGCACCCACAAACACCCCCTGCACTCACAGACACAACACCCCACGGGGAGGACACGCCTCCAGGAGCCCACCCACGGGGACACAGCTCCGTGCCCGGCCATCTCGGACACGCAGGGAGGCAGGAGCCCCCCTGTTCCCCCGGGTCCCGCCCCTGCTCATCTGTCCGAGCCCCGACACACCCCAAAGAGCAGCGTCCACCGCCCCACGTGCCAGCCGGGGCAGAGCAAAACCCCTCTGGCAGGGGGGCAGGCACAGCTCGGATTAAAGGAGTCGGTTAATCAATCCCTGTCTGATCGCTGAGGCTGGAGGGAAATCGGGGGCTCCCGAAGCACGGCCGGGTGGCCCTAAAGGATGCGATGACTCAAGGCTGCAGCTGATGGACGGCTCCAGCCTCCTGCCAGGAGCCGGGATCGGCACGCGGAGCCGTCCCAAGGCAGCGAAAATTCCCGGCTGGATTGGCAGCCCGGTGACAGCCACCACCCCGCGGCCCCGGCCGGCACCTGGAGCAGCCGGTGCTGCTCTGGAGAAGGGGATCTGCCAGTCCAGAGGCTGGGATGGTGTGTTAGGAATGCAGGTGGGGAGCGAAAGTGAGAGGCAGCAGCTCCGGGTGGTTGGGAGTGGGGAGGGAGAGGCAGGGAGAGGAGCTGGAGCTGGGGGGAATTCGGGAAGGATCGTGAGTATCCCATCTCTTCCATTCCCTCCGGCCTGAGACAGACGGACACATTCACGTGGGAAATGTGTCCAGTCCTGGAGATTTTCTCGCTGTGGTGTCTGGGACGCTGGGCACCCGCTCAAACCCGTGCATCGCCGCGCTCAGCAGCCACAGGGCCAGCCGGTGCCAGCTCCTGGCACACCGAGTCCTGGGAATTTGGCTGCTGCCCATCCTGCTCCCAGCACAGCCGTCCTCCCCCGCAGGCACCTGCTCGGGGAGCGGCAGAGAAGCAGCAGCAGCCGCCGCCGCTCCCCGGGGCTGCTCAGCACGGCCGGGAATGCTCTGTCCCTCCCTCCTTCCCGACCTGGCTGGCACCAGGATACAGCCCTGCGGGAATCCCAGCCGGGAAATCAGAGCCTGCCCCACGGGACGGACAGATGAGGCCGCTTGGGATAAAGAAAAACCTCAGCAAAGCTCGGGAATTGCTGCTCAAGGCAGTTCCCAACTCTGTGCCTCAGTTTCCCCGTCTGTAAAACAGAGGGGAGGGGAG